CCTCCCTAGGAACCTTGTCGTACGCTTTCTCTAAATCGATAAACACCATGTGGAGATCCTTCATCTTATCCCTGTATTGTTCCACCATCTTCCTAATAAGGTGGATAGCTTCTGTGGTAGATCACCCCGGCATGAACCCGAACTGGTTGTCTGAAATAGATACCGTCCTTCGCACTCTCATTTCTACCACTCTCTCCCAGACTTTCATGGTATGACTTAGTAATTTGATACCCCTATAGTTGTTTAATTAACTTATCAATAACAGACTCCCCCACTTGGCTCAAATCCATAGATCAAAGCATACCATAACTCCTAATGCCCATACTTTATTACAGCCATAATATCGCAGTGAGATTCAACTAAATCCTCCATAAGTTCATGCAACACAAACCATATAATACCTCAAATTATTTGCAAATCTCGTATTCATCCTCGTAATAGTCAAGCCCACTCTTATAAGCGATCTAAACTCAAATTGCAACACATATTTCACAGGTAAAAGAGAACTCCCAACAAATAATCATACAGCTCTGGATATCGCCTTTGTTCTTATACAACGGAACCATTGTACTCCACCTCCACTCTTCAAGCATCCTATTAGTCTTGAATATAACATTAAACAACCTAGTAAGCCATTCCAAGCCTGCTCTACCCACACACCTCCAAAGTTCAACCGGAATTTAATCTGGCCCGGTAGCTCTGCCCCTTCTTATCTTATGCATTTCCTCTATGACCTCATCGACCTCAATGTCCCTACAATCACTTAATTCATGGGGGATGTCGGTATTCCTCAATTCACCTAGTATAATATCCTGATCCCCTTCCTCATTTAGAAGTTTATGAAAGTAGGTCTACCATCTCCTCTTAATCTAGTCAACCCCATCAAAACTTTGTCGTCATCATCTTTTATGCACCTCACTTGGTCCAGATCCCGAGCCGTCCTCTCTCTCACCTTAGCGAGTCCGAGTAACTTCTTCTGCCTGCCTTTGTCCCTAATTCCTCATACAAATGAGCAAAAGTTGTCGTCTTAGCCTTCGTCACTGCCATCTTCACCTTCTTCCTAGCTACCTTATATCTCGCAATGTTCGCTCTTTTCTCCTCCTTGCCAGTGCTCCATACTAGCCGCAGGTAAGCCACCTTCTTCGCTTCCACTTTACCTTGGACAATTGTATTCCACCACTAGTCTCTTTTGTGGCTACCGGTGTGGCCCGAATATATCCCTAACACCTCTCTCGCTTCCTTCCTTATATAGTCCACCATCGTCGACCACATAGTGTTTGTGTCCCTACTACTTCTCCAAGCTCCCATTACCGACAACCTTCCTTCCAACTCCTGAACTTTATCCTTAGTCAAGGCGCCCCACCTAATCCTCGAGCGGCCTCATACTGACCTCTGCTTCCTCCTTATCATAATACTAATGTCCATCACCAAAATCCTATGTTGCGTTGCAAGGGTCTCACCTGGGATAACTTTGCAATTCTCGCACAACCTTTTGTCGCATCTCCTGAGGAGGAGATATTCAATTTGAGTCCTCACCACCGAACTTTGGTAAGTAACCAAATTCTCCTCCCACTTCGAAAAACTTGAGTTCGTAATCACTAGATCGAATGCCTTGGCAAAATCCAGCAGCGAAGTGCCCCCTCCGTTCCGTTCCCCGAAACCAAAGCCGCCATGCACCTCAGTATAACCACCTGCAGACGACCCAATATGACCATTGAAATCCCCTCCTATGAATAACCTCTCGGCAGGCAGAATACTATGAACGATGTCATCCAACCCCTCCCAAAAGTGCCTTTTAATCTCCTCATCCAAGCCTACTTGCGGTGCGTACGCGCTAACGACATTTAAAGTACACTCACCCACCACTAATTTAATAGTCATTAGTCTATCATTCACACGCCTGACCTCTACCACAGACTCTCTAAGATGGCTATCTACCAGGATACCCACTCCATTCTTACNTCTTGCCCCCTCTACCTCCCCTGCCTCCCGACCCACACCCTGACCCCGACCCCACCCTTTGCCCCACACTCTGCCTCACCCGAGGACATGCCTTTAATCTATCATTCCAGACTGCAGCCACTACACCTATGACAAATCTAAAGAAGACTCGCTAGAGCACAACGGACAACGAATCAAACTAGAAGGAAACAAGTGACTACCAGTATACTAGTTGAATGATTTAACTATTGTGAACTAAAGTAACATCAATTTAGCTAACACCAAAAGGGAAACAGTAAAACGGGAGGTACCAATTCCCGAGAACCAAACCTGTGCTGATTTGCAGTACTCGATGTACTTGCAAGCTCACGCACCGCTTCCCACCGCCCTTTGCTGACGCTCGTCCAGGTTACTCTCCTTTGCTAGTGCTCGTGCGCCCAACTTGTCTCTAACAACTTCGAGAATTTTCCTGAAAACACAAAAAAATACCACGACCCAAAAACCAAAAAGGGTCGTCACCACTACCACTGGTGTAGCCCCGAAAGTAACTAATAGAGAATGGGTTAGTATTCTTTGGACCAATAATGGTCAGATCTGGCTTTTACCGTGGAGACCAAGCGTGAGAAGGAAACGATGGACCTAGATCAGCGAGCTCCACAGGTCACTTGAAAACGAGATCTAATTGAGCAAAGCTTTTCAGCAAATTTAAACCCAGAAGATGAAAAATCAAGGGCGTAGCTCAATTGAGTGGTGTCTGGAAAATAGATCAACAGTAGCAAGAGCCAAGAATAATAGTATTATGTGGAAAATGCCAAAATAGATTAGCTAAGTGGAAGTACAACAAGTTACTGAGACTTAAGCTTAAATCTTTTGAAACCCAACAAAAGCATAGGATAAACGACAAAGAATTTACGAAACTGTTGTGGCCAGAAGCACAGAGATTTTGCTTATTATTCTCCGGCGAAGTTTTTGGCAATATCCGGTAACGACGACTAAACTCTTGAAAACGCCAAATCAAAGAATGAGTAATTATAGATTTCTTAAAACAATTAGAGTAAGTGTTAGGTTAATTCATGAAGCAGTATGAAAGAGAAAATAAGAAATGGAAGAGAAGGAAAAAGACTAAAAATAAATAGGAAAGATTAGGAGAAGAAGCAAACAGATTTCTGACGGAAGCTCGTCGGCGGCGAGATTTGAGAAGTCGGCGAATATGACCGTTAGAGGTAGTAAACTAATAATAGTATACAAAAAATCCTAAAATGACAAATAGTTTGAAACATCTATTTTAAAAAATTACGATAAATAATTTGAGATAAAGAAAGTAAAAACTAATTCTTTATATTAGTTATATATTGGCTTATTTTAGCTCTAGTTTCTCGTCTAACTTTACTTTTAGAATAATCAATAGTATTGGACCAAAAAATAAATAGATGGAAGAACCAATAATAGTATTTCTTTTCTTCAAAATTGAAAAGCAGGAGCCGTTCTTCATTTTTACTTTAATATCTTCAATACAAATCTAATGTTTAGTGGTGAGATATTAAAACATTGAAATTTTGAATTCCTCAAACATAGTTCAACGTCAAAATTAGTTGTTATATTTGGTCCTAAATATTAGAATTTTGAATTATAAAAGGAAAATTTTAGTTGATTTGAATGTCCTAAATATTGAGATTTCCTACTATAATAAATAAAGTTTAGTTGATTTCAAAATTCTAAATATTAGGAAATTAATAAAATAACTATTTTATTCAGGATGAACTCTATTTTTAAAGGGTAAAAAAGGCGAACGTCATTTCGCTAAGGGTCTTCGTGCTTTTAATATAGTATAGATAGATTGTACTGAATCGTTTCGCTGTATGAGATAATTGGATAAATTATATTGTTTCTCGTCATTTTATGGTGTTATGCACCGACAATATAAAGAATAAACTTACAATATTACAAAGAAAAAGGTATGAGGTAGAATTATTATATAAAATATAAGGTAAAGAATAAAATAAGATTATCTAATAGAATAAAGAAACGCAAGATAAGAGAAAAAGGCAAGAAAATGATGCGACTACACCAAATCGGTTGTTATATGAAATGATACTTTTTTGTCGTTATATAACAACACAATATAATAAAATTTAAGTAACAATCAGAACAAATATTATATTTAAACTAATAATACGATACAATACGTAACAACCATTCAAACAAGCTATAAGCACAAACTACCAGCCTCCTTCCCCACCGAAACTCGAACTTTTCTCCCGCATTTACTACATCAAGTTTTTAAAACAAATAAATTTAGTGTTAACCTTAGTGCTTACTTGGATTTAATTGCTTGCCTCGTATAGTGTTTTTAGTTTTTTGAAACTCTTCCAACGATCTAACAATTAACAAACTATTAGTATAAATTAAAGTCCCCGTGTTTGAAGAATATTTCAAACAAATGAAACACTAAAATAAATAAAAAGGCAATCAGGTACATAACGCGTTCCGCGTTCAATCATGATCCGGAGAAGAGCTGCACCTCAAAAGGTGTTATGTAGATAATGTATCCAAATACAAGCATTAGCGGCTGCTTCCACGGCTCGAACCGGTGACTTATAGATAACTGGAACACTATAAGAGAGGAAAAATATTAAATCCTACTATTAAGTATCAAGGTCAAATTTTCTTTCTTTCTAACTACCATCATTCTGAAAACCTGGTGTAGTAACATTAATGATCCAGCAACCAACAACTTGTATTTGCTTATGCAGAAAAAACGTCATAGTGGATTAATTAGGCTTTTATCTTTAACTACCATCATTAAGTGCAAATGCAAAAAGGATAAAAAGTAAGTGTGAATAGATTTATAACAATCTTATTCAAGTACGTCAATAACAAAGCTCAAAACCAAACCAAGAAAAGTATACTACGAGTAGAAAAAAAACAAAAAAAGATACTATCTACTAACACTGAGAATTTAATCCTTTGAACTCCAATCCCTCTATATAAACAGCTTACTAGTGTAAGCCAATATTCATTACTCTTCTCTATTTCTTTTCTATTTTACATCAAAGAAAATGGCTTCTACATTTTCTCTCAAATTGATTGTTAGTGTTGTCACTTTGCTTTTTTTAATTCACTTTTCCAGCGTTTGTGATGCTAAAAGGATGCTTAGGGAGGAAAATGAGAAGTTATTTAAGGTAAAAAAGGATGATTCAGCTTCTCCTTCTCCAGATTCAACAAACATTGGTGGATTTCCTTTTCCATTCAATTTTCCACCTTTTTCTGATGGAATTCCAAATATACCCTTCAATTTTCCATTTCCTGGCTTTGGATCATCAGGAGGATTGCCTGGTTTTGGAATTCCTGGTACTGGCGGTAGTGATAATAACCCATTTTCTTTTCCAATCCCTGGAGTTCCTAATGTTGCTGTTCCACCCCCAGCTGCCGCCCCTTAAATTCCTATACAAGTTTCTCTCTGTTATTATCAGTTTCATTTTGTAAGAAGAAGGAAATTAAGGAGTAAGTTTTAGAGCCATAGGCTCAAATGAATTACTATTTCTTGTCCTTGTTTCTGATGTAATTAATTAGAAAATGGGAAATGACATAGATGTCAAGTAAAAAAGAACTCGTACTCTGCTACCATTATTTTCCTTTTCTTTTCCTCTTTCTCGCTTTAGTGTGATATAATAATAGTACTTAAAATATCTTTATATCTTTCTTTTTTTTGGTATAATTATGTGATATTCAGAATCAACTGACTTGACTATCCAAATTCACGTCGTGTAAAAAGGGAAACAACTTCCAACTATAAATTCTTCATTTCTAGGAATCAAAATTGAAGACTTCTGATTAAAGGTGAAGGGATCTTATCTATCTCACCACATCTCTTGGAGTAGTTATTATTTCGTTATTATTGTTGAGGGGTATAAAAGAGTTGCTATTTTTTGGACGTGGGTGGATGTATGACTAGAAAGATTTTATGCATTTTATAGATTATCAGCCTTTAACCAAGTATTGTCTCTCAAATAAATCGAAGAATTAACTAATATAACCGGTTAGACTTGAGATTGAACAAATTAGAGGAAGCGTTTAGAAAAGATTTGAAGACTAGCAAGGCATCACTGTTTTAGGGTATATATGGGCAAGTAAACCATTGATCTAAGAAAAAGGAGCTTAATAAAGCATTTCATTATCAAACCTAATATTTTCAGAACAGAAATCAAATGTGCTATTCCTATTAATTACCAGTCCCAAATAGCATTGATGGAAAAAAAATTCCAAAATTTCATGCACAAACATATTACATTTCCTTCTTTAGAATAAAGCATCACATTGTAAAACAAGAATCCTGGTTCTCTTATGACCTGGGATGTGAAATGCTGCTGCAGCGTCTTACTAACAATAAAAGATGTAGCCCGCTTCTCTGTAGTGAAGGATCTGTTGTTAATAGAGACTGAGCTTTCACGGTCTAAAAAGATATTTGGACCAGTATGTCGATTTTGCCACATCAAACCATAGCTTATACTGCAAACACCCAAATAAAGCTACAGGAACACCAGCAAAACAACAATGAGCTTTGGCTGCCAAGCCATACGATCGTGGCGGAGGTAGGATTTTCGTTAAGAGGGTTCAAAGTCAAATAATTAAAAGAGATTGTAGCCAGTAAGAACTGAACCAGTAACCTCACAAAAGTGTTGAACCCCCTTGACTGTTGAGCTATGCTTTTCAGCTATGTCAAGGGGATTCAAAATATAATATTGTATACAATTAAAATCAGGTCCTCCCGATTTTACTATGTGACCGAGACCAGGGAGTAGCATTGAAGGTCGGCCCCGTAGTGGATCATACCAAAGCACGGGGACAAGGTACCGAGTTCGAGAATCGAGGTACTTGTCGAGATCGAGGCAAGTGGCAATAGAGACCAAATAAGACAGTCGGAGATAGCACAATAACAGAAAGGTGAGATATCCGTGACTGGTCGAAGATCATGGCGTTAATCTCGGAACGTATCAAATCAGGAACGGTTAATTAGCTAATCATGAGATTTCCTTTTGTAATTAGAGTTATATAAGTAAAATTACCTACTTTTGTTATGGGTAATTTTTTGGCAACTTTGTCAAACAAAAACGTAGAATCCTTTTTTCCTTTTATTTTTTTAAACTTTTCTATTTACATGTTAAAATTTGAAAATGTTATATTTTTACTTTGATCTATATATATAATTATATAATCCATAAATATAATTATTTAAGACGGGATTAGGTGGAATGAGTTCTTTTAGAGTATTTCTACTTTCTCCTGTGATGCATAAGTTAGAGTTACATGAAAATCTTTGAGATGAGAAGAAACATAAGACTCAAAAAAAGGGATTAAATTGGGAGTGTCTGGCTGACGGCCTACGAAGATTACTGAAATACATATCAGTTTACCTAAATTATAGGAGTGTATACGGTACATGCAGAATAAATTTGTTCTTTTTGTACATATTTTTAATGATTAATACGATAGACACGTGCAACACACGTACACTAAAAAATAGTAAATAAATAAAAATGGCTACTAATTTTAAAATCATTCTACTAACTCTCTAGCTAGCAAACAAAGACTCAACTAAAAAGTATTCATTAAAAGGGTATTTGGCTAAGCTTATAAGCTGGTCAAACTGGCTTATAAACACTTTTTCGCTTATTTACGCGTTTGGTAAAATTAAAAGTGCTTATAAGTCAAAAATAAGCCAAAAGTCATAAGTTGATCTCCCCCATCTTATCAAATTTCAACTTATAAGCACTTTAGGTTTGACCAAAATATTTACTATTCTATCCGTAAAATAATTCTTTTTAAACAAAACTCTTCGTATGCCCAGTTCTTCAGCTGCTTATTTTTAATTTTAGCACTTTTATCCAAACACATAATTATTTATTTTTTAAATCAGCTTTAGCACTTAATGCTTATCAGCTACTTAAATTAGCTAAGCCAAACAGGCTCTAAGAATAGAAATCATGTTTACTTCTGGATCCGTACTACTAATGTGATTAGTTTAACCAAATAACGTCCCAGGATCCGATCGTCCATTCTTTAGAATAAAGTCACGCTTGTGTGTATTTAATTTATTGTCTTTTAAATATAGATTTTTTTTGTTGGTATATAAAGCAAACGTGTAATTGAAGACCAAATCAAATTTTGCTTGCTCATTTTTTCAACTCATCTCAACATCATATTAGCACTCATACATCTTATATGACAAGTTGGATACTTCGGATATTCTTTTTGTACTGTATAAACGCACCTAAGTTAAAATAAATGTTTATGAAAAGTATTACCCTTTTTGTTGTAATTTATGTGGTATACTTTCTTTTTTAGTCTGTCCCGACAAAAGAATATTATATTTCTTATTTAGAAATAATTTACTTTTAAATTTATCATCTTATTCTTAATAAGATAATTTGTAGCGACACAAATATTTATGTCTTATTTTATATCACAAATTTTAAAAAAAATTCATTAAATTTTATGACCAGTCAAGCACCATCACATAAATTAAAAAGGGGAGAATGGTAATGATCATACTATTAACTAATTCTTTATTATTTCAAATCATATTGAGCCTAAGCGGTTTCTATTTCCTCGTATTTTTACGTGATATAATTTGGTGAATAATAAGTTTCAACGTAATAAATAGGCCAAATACATATACAGACCATTAAATTTGGTCCAATTTTTTATTTTGGCACTTTAACTCAGTCTTGTTCCATTTTGGTCCTTCAACCCCATTTCTTTTATTCCAATTTGACACAAAAAATTTTCTCCCAAGTAAAATACAGCGTGTGCAAATACCCAACTGCTACCCCCACCCCNCGAGAAAAAAATATTTTTTTTATATATTTTCAGTAATAACTACGGGTTCAACTGAACCCATAACTTCCGACGCGGAGCAAAAATTTGTATGTAAAAATTCACTAAAATTGTAAAAAAAATAGATATAAACCCATAACATTTAAAAATATAATGGATTTTTTTGTTCCACTTTGACACAAAAACTTTTATCCCAGGTAAAAATGTAGCGCGGAAAAATACCCAGCTACTACCCCCACCCCCCGCAATTTTTTTTGTAATTTCAAATTATTATTATTTTTGTTTTTTCTGTCCCCTCCCGTGGAAAAAATATTTTTTATATATATTTTCAGTAATAACTACGGATTCAACTGAACCCATAACTTTTGACTCGGAATAAAAATTTGTATTTTAAAATTTATTAAAATTGTAAAAAAAAATAGATATAAACCCATAACTTTAAAAATATAATGGATTCAATGTTAAAAACATTAAAATTGAATCCATAGGATTTAAATTTTGGATCCGCCTCTACGTTGGGAGTATGAAATTTGGCTTAAAAAATGGCCCTCACGCACCTACAAGGGTGAGGCAAATCACACATGGAATCTAGTCAGTATTTTTTGTCAAAGTGAAACAAAAAAAATGGGGTTGGAGAGCCAAAATGGAACAAGACTGAGTTAAAGTGCCAAAATGAAAAATTGGGCCAAATTTAATGGGTTGTCTATGTATTTGGCCTAATAAATATATATAATTATAGAACTCACTACATGCATATGCAAATGCTTGAAAAAGCCTATTCAACAAGAAGAATTCAAAAGTAAAACAGAGAAAGCATCAAACGGTGCATATACATTACTCTATATACTTTTTTTTGTATCCAGCTTCTTCAGAAATATGTTTGTACTATAGCCTATTGAACCACAAGAATTTAAAAGTAAAACAGTGAAAACATCAAATGGTGCATATACATTACTCTATATACTTTTTTATGCATCTAACTTCTTCATAAATATGTTTGTACTATAACCACAAGAATTTAAAAGTAAAACAGAGAAAGCATCAAACGGTGCATATACTTTTTTTAAATCCAACTTCTTCAGAAATATGTGTTTACCTGAAAAATGGTAACTACAATTATATTTGATTTTGTGGTTCTAAAAATACATGATTTATCTCAATACTAGTTGTTAGGCAAAAGATGCTAAATGTGAGTAAAGAAAATAAGAAATGCAAACTAATAGGGTTATAATGTTGGGCCTCGAGCTGGCTGGAGCAGGGCCTCGGGGTCTAGATGGGCTAATAGCGATGAACGATCGATGAAGGATCAATGACAACGAGGGCCTCGAAGATGACCTTTTGCGGTTAATAATGAGCAATCAATGAACAATAAAAGAATAAGCAATAAATGTGAAGAACAATTGTTTAAGCAAAAAGCAGAGAATGTTGTATTGTATTTAATATTGTGTAATAATCCGGGTTCTTTACAAGATAACAAGGGTCCCCTTTATATAGGAGGGGGAATCCCAATATAGTACATGTCTAATAATAATGAGGGAATGCTATTGGTACAGTTGTATAATGACTTAGTATGGATTAGTACTATCCTTTGCAGACCTGGTCA